TTTTGGCGCATCAACCTCTACACTGCCACGACAACAGTCGCAAAATTCAGTGTCGTAGGTAATAAAAACACAAACCCAAGAAATGTTTCACCTGTGTAACACTGCATGGTTTTGGACAATGGAGAATGGCTCTGGCGTTCTTGACATTGAGCATAATACCCGAGGTAGCAATAATATGTCCAATAAATACGACTTCCGTTACAGCAAATTGGCATTTGCTGGTATTCAGGCGGAGGTTTAGTTCATTCACTCTATGCAACATGTTGTGAAGGTTTTTCTGATGTTCGGTGGGGTTACTAACAGACATAACTATCATCCATATACACAACACATCCTTTAAGATCTGATAACAATAGAGTAATAAATTTCTATCAAGCTGCTGGGGCACTACTAACGCCCCTTGCTAGCACTTTGTATTGATACGAACCGTCTTGCGTGAGGAAAGCAGTCAAATGTCAGCAATCTGGAGTCAGTGGCATGTGGTAGTATGCACTGCAAATATTCAGTTTTGAGAAAAGTTTGGCGTTTGAAAGCCTAACGAACAACTCATCGAGAGAAGGCAGAGGGAACTTGTTCACAAGTACATGTCGATTAACTTCCATCTTCCAGTCTTCCCAGCATTCTGCATTGGGGTAACCGCAGAGTCAGCCCAGAGCGGTGAGGGGGCACTAGCATGCAAAAACATCGGTAACACGCGACGCCAATTTGTTGTTTCCCGAAAAGGCAACAGACCGGAACAACACTGGAACGTATGTATGGAGAAAACTGTCCGCACACACGCGCAGTACAATTAAATCGATAGGGGTTCGAATAGCAACCAATCAAATGCAAGACCACATGATTGACCAACGACTGCTAAATAGAAGTGTGAGTAGGATATGAGAATCTCGGGCAAAAATAAAAGCAAAGTATTTGAACACGACATGATTGAAATAAAGCTATTTAATTTATCAGGTTCCTTGTTTAATTTCATACACGAGGGAGTCCAGGCACCTAGCCTGCGTCTGAAATTTTTAAGTCATAGCCTAATAAAAATAGAAAATACCGAAACTCAGGCCCGTAAGAACTGCTACTTGAAGGTTTTGGAAAACAAACGGAACAGGCTGCCGTCCAAGTAGCGAGAATTCAGATCACCTGAAATCTGTTGTAAGGAAATTCGCAGTCTGTTAACTGTTGAAAAGACCATTAAGCTGCTGACGCAAAATGCCATGGAAGAGGTGGCATATAAAAACGGTCAAGCAAATAACTAAGATGTGGTATCACTTGCCATCATTTTACATCAGCAATCTATCTTTTGACTCCTCGCGACTGATGGCTTCGAAAAAGCATTTTGGCCTACAGCGTAACTATAGGGAAACATGTCACACAGTCCAGTAGAATGAAACCTATACTTCTAGATAAATATCATAAATTTTTAGGCATTTATATAGGTTTATGAGTAGCCGATTAATTTTTTTATTTATGAAATTACCTTTTCTGTATTTGTAACTATTTCTCTTCCCTGTTCAGAGGTGTCAGCACACAAACTGCGCAGTAATTCTTAACATCCATCAAGATAAATTCCTATACACCTCGGTGGCCCCCAACGGTTGAATCACTGAAGCATTGACCCGTAACCTTTTTCTTGTGAACAACTTGAACAGAAACTACTTGACGATCCATTTGCAAAAGTTGATCGGATCAAACACATAGACCGCGTCTCGTACTGTCGAGATACAAACTATTTATCTATGGATCTCTTCTGTACCTACATCCTATAATGCTTCATATCTCTCCTATCTCGGAAGCAGCAACAGCCGAGAAACAGATAGCAAGTCACAGTGCTCGTTGATCTCAGATCCCGTATTTTTCGAAAGCAGGAATCTGATGGATGAAGCTGAAAGTTCTTTTTGAACCGCCTTGATCATGGATAATTCAAGCAATTACTTTGGGTGACCCTCTGTACAATTTGTTCGAAAATTCCGTTGGGCCTTTCTTGCGCTGTAACAAAATATGCAGTTGCCTTATTTAGTTGTTGTTATTGCCATTCTATGTTCTACTATTTTATACTCTCTTTAGTTCATTGTTGGACACTACTGGGTCGAGCTCCTGAGATTGAAGCTTGCAAGTTAATAAGCGCACCTATGTAAGGCGTATTGTCATAAACACACTGGCGTGTAATAAAAGTGCTTGACTCATAAAACCGATTGATGGCACTGGCTGGATGAACTAAGTGTCCGTACTACCTACACACAAAAAGCTTTAGTTGTGTCAGTTAGGTGATGGCTCAACTGTTTTAACTCTACACCATTGGGCGACCAGATGAAGTAAGGAGGTGAGGGGGAAATCTTTCGAGGGACTACCCTGCATGGAAGCAGGACCCTAGGGACGGTTCCACGGTTTACCGTAATAAAACAAGGGAAAATTTAGATTTATCTGCATTTGTTAGCATTTGTAACCTCCCAAACTGTATGAAGGGTAAAACCGATTAATCAGCCTAAAACTAGTTTGGTAACTGCGCTGAAAAACACCGGAAAAAACTTTTATGCAACCCAACTGTATATAATGACCAGAATACTCAGTTGGACTCTGCCTCGCACAGTAGACGAACAAACTGTTTATTTATTCCTGTATTTATATACCCATTGGTTCGAACCTTTAAATGTTGTTCCAGAATCACTTCAAACAAACCCTGATGGGACTCCGCAATCAAACATCGGAGATGAGTAAGATCACCGCCACCCATTTGCAAAGTGTTGTGAGAAGAGTTCCCGAAGTAAATATTCAGGCCTGACTGATCCTTCCTAGTTGGGGCGCTGAAATTGAGACATGGATGATAACCTCGACTAAACTTCTCTCACTGAAGGGAAAACGGTGGAGCAGCGTTTTAACTCGTCTTCGCTATCAGTATTCATGTATCTCCCATGGTTGCTTCTTCTTTGTCGTCTAGCTACTCTAACAATAGAATGTTCCTGACCATATTCGATCTACTAACAGACACTCAGATCTTCCCACAAACCACGGCTCACGGTTCACATTATGGGATGTAATTGTTCGCGAGCTACGTCAGTAGATAAACAAGCAATAGGATTACTCACTATGCATTATCTGGTGGTACAGACGTGCGGTCTCCATGCCAAGCCCAACAGTCGGCCGCGTCCAAGCCAATTTCGGTTAGATGACTTGGACTCCGATGACGATAGTCACAGTTTCCGCGCCCTCGATAATATCCAGAAGATCACTTGATTTATTAATGGCAGTCATACTGAGTAAAATATTGGATTCGGGTGTATGGCTGGAAGTGCGCTGCTCGAATCCGAAGCTCAGTCTAAGTTAACAGACAGTATCTGAGAACGCCCTGACCGTAAGTTGGAGGCTACCAAAAACTTTATCAACATTTCATTTGTGAAGTGAGTGATCAACCGGACCATTAGTGAGTAGTAATAGAGCCTTATTGGGGGTTGCTGCAGATCCGTCGCAGCTAGACTCAGGCAGACAATCACTACACAGACTGGAAAGCGCTCGAGGGCCGTTTCGTCCTATGGGACTCACCTGTAGCGCGCACTCATGGAGTCCTGCCGGGTTCGATCCCACGACCTTACCCTTACGAGCCATCGACTTATATCACTGAGCCATGGCGGCTGCAACGGATCGCCATGATTGATATTTAACTGCGATATAGCGCGGCTCATCCTCAACCGTCATGCATGTTATGAACGTGCAGACCCGGGGCTGACCCCAGAGCTACGATTTCCTTTGTAAGCCGCTACCAAGCAAGGTGGCATGTGAGCTGCTGAGTCAGTTATTGATAATGTCGGTCCGTAGCCTAGAGCTAACGAGCTTGCCTAGTAATCTTGTGGCACGGGTATGAATACACGTAGGGGTGGGCGTCCTCGCGGTATACTCAGCCCACGTGCAACTGGTGGTGGTCGCAGGGCAGAGAAGCGCCGTTATGGCGTACAGCTGACAAGTTACCTCCGTTAGTTACTGATAATTCGTGAGTAGTAGGGGGATTTATGGGGGTCTGGTGAAGATTCGTCGCTGCGCATTCCTGAAAGTTTGGTGGCTGTCTGTTGTTGAACCTCTGCTATTTTCAGTTTGCTATCATGGTGTTGAGAGATAACAGTTATATACACTATACTTGGATGGCAGAGAAAATCGACACTACGTTGGTACGTCGTACAGACGTTCTGCTGCCACGCAAATACCACCAGTACCGCGCGGGTTGGGTGTACTGCGATGTCTCCGGCTCCTATGCAGACTCGAAACAGTGGTCAGTGGATTCAACACTCGACCAGTAAACAATTGGTAAAGCGCCGAAACACAGGGGTAATAGGGGAGTAAAGGTTGTGAGAAGAGGAGAGTGTCGCAACACGATAGTCACGGCACGATTCTGCGCCATGTCCGATAGTGTTTCGAACCAGAGGTGCTCATTGTCCTTGGACTCCCAACCGGGGAGTCTGGAATACCCCAATGTGTACAACAGCAATGTCAGCACATCGACACCCCGAAGGGAGATTGTGTGTTGGCTACATTGCTGTGCCTTCCAATCAACACCGGCGAATGTAGAGAAAGCGTGGCGGGGCAATTGTTGAGTAGGTATATAGAGAACCTGCCCGAGTCACCGGAGCGCAAGCAAGGAGATAATGCATCCCAGTAGTCAGCTGAACCTGTCTGACAATAAGATCCGAGGTCGAACGTCGTTATTACTAATGCGATGCTGCCAAGATACACCAGCGGTGTTCCAGAGGCAGTGGTGACCAAAAACAGACAATTTTTACACATCGCTCGCTCAAACGGGCCAGGTCTCGCAGCCATACAGGAGCACTGTTAAAGACCTGTAGATTTCAAGCAGACGCCTCATACCAATGGGGTACGGGCCGATATACTCACTTAATTAATGGCTACTGAGATGTGGAATTGGTGTGTACTAAAATGTCCCAATAGGCAATTAGTAGCATTGACGTTGGCTACGTATATAGAAAAATGGATCGAGAACACAAATACGCGCATGAACTCACCGCAGCTGGCAAATTCAGGATTGCCAAATTGTAACCAATGAGAAAAGAGGAACCGAAGCACGTGATAAACGTGGACAACACCAGAGTAAACGTTAATCCGGAATCCTGTAACAAAAAGCATGAGGTTGGCTAGATCTATCCAATAGTACAGTCTCACGTCCTAGAAACCATATCATACCCACTCACTACGGCACTCATTAGATATTCGAAAGGCTATTTAGTTGAGCTACCTAATAAACTTGGTTCCGTGGCGTATAATGTTTAGCCTGACCACACATTGAACCTGACCGACAGCGTGCAAAATAAGAATTGGAACTTTGTTTTCACAGAGATTGGCGAAGATCTTCATACTCGAGAGCAAATCAGGCTAGGTCAACTACCACTGGCGATCATGGTGCAAACCACATATGCTAATTTGTTCTTTTGTACCCCAAGTATTATCCCACTGATAGCAATGACGTATGCTCTTGCTCCATGAAAAATATATAGCGAATAATAGATCTCGCCTAATGAAGTCTCGGTACGCTATATCGACTTATAAAAACGTAACTACAACAAACGTAAGTAAATGATAATGCAACCCGATCACTCGATCGGGGACAGTTCACTTCCATATAAGCTCAGCAGGAAAAGCACTGTTACAAAGGGATCTGTGATGCCAGAAAGTAAAACCATGGTGCGCTGTATAAACAGGCATCGAACGAACGACAAGATAACAAAGTTCCAGTAGGGGTGATCTATCTTGGGTTTGTCAAATCAATCAGGCCGGAGGATGGAGCTGACGGTTTGTCGACGATACAGGAATGCAGTGGAAACTGTACGTACTCCTGTTTTAGGGCTGAGAAACATTCAACGTACAATGTTCTTAAGAGCAAACCCATGAGCAACACCCAGCCGGCACATCTGTGTTAAATGGACAGCAGAAAGATACATATAACCGTGGTGTAAAAATGACGCATGCCAAGTTACGAAGTCAGAGGTTGATGGCGATTCAGTCAATCCTATCACCGTAGCATGCTGAGTGATGGCTGAAGTGGGGGTCGTAATAAGAAGTGAAACTTTCGGGTGATTAGATCAAAACGTTTTCGTGGGGACTGCTGAGTACATAAGGATAAAAGTCCAGTTAAGTCGACAGAGGGAGCATATAGGGAGCCGGATTTACTTCTCGGAATGGCTACAAAGAAGAACTAATAGGGCACTGTTTCGTACCGAAAAGATCTCAAGTTGACCAAATTTCCAATGTGATGTTGAAGAAATAAGACCCAGAGACATGCGAGTAACGGCCACGATAGTTCGCAGACCAAGTCTACAGTTGGCACGCCCGAGTTGATAAACCAATGCGACTGATTTCGAGTTGCGGTACAGATCATAGCATGTACACACAAAGCAGATGACGAGGGAACGCGCGTTTTATGAACGTTTAATTTGTTAAATTTGAAATAAATGAGAATATCCGTACCTCGGGGTGTGGATGCGGATTTTGAGCTGTTCTCCGAGCTGAGATATGGTAAATACTGAATAGTGTATTGTGAGAGCAAGTAGGTTAAATCTTGAAAAGTGAGTCAAAATATAGTCAGAAATGTCATAAAACGTATCTGCCACCTGTTTATACTCTAATCGATCTTCAAGTTCTTCTATACCACCTAAAGGTGACTCACAGAATCACTGGGCTCACAAAAGTAAGATTTCATTGCCAATATGCCATCGTTCTTTGAATCAAATGGTGGTGAAATCCAAGTCAAATAAAGCTTTGAACTGCTGCACATATTTAGCTTTCACGTCTTCTTCTGGCAGACCGTTCCGATCATCAACTCATCGTTTGAAGCAAAGGAGATGGGGAATTTTAGCTTCTGCAACATAAGGTTGTACTGACATACGCGAGTGTTGCATGACATTCGCAGGTGAAGCAGCATCCGCTAAAAAACGGAAGTCACCGAAATGTAATGTGCCATAAGCTAAGATGAGATTACATTGCATTCGACGATTGGACAAGGTGTAGATGAGTAGTTTCTCACACCGACCTTCGTGGGGTAATTCTCGTAAACTCGTAATGATCCTGGTAGCGACATGCTGGACCCGTCCAATCTTCGGTGCTGCGCTTCCGCAGTGTGGACAGTAGGCGAGCGAGCCGTACGCCAGTACTGGTCTTGAGATGGAAGAGGTGAGTGCCGACGACTTCAGACCAAATACAGTCGCTGCGTTAAAGTGCCCAAATCATGCGCAGTCCGTTAGGATGCAACCTGTACGTGTTGTCCACGGACTTCAACTTGCAGCGCGAGGTCCTTCATGGATGGATTGAAATGTGGCGGTTTGCAATAAATGGTTTAACCTCGGTCGCCACCATTTTACCCAGGCTCATGAATACCGATTGGATTGAGCTGGTCGCGAGGTGGACTTCGGCAGCCCACATGGAAAGGGGCGTGTTTGTGTGACACTCAACTGGAATCGTGGGAACCACGCAAACTAGATGAACGCAAAGTTGAAACGGAGCGTAATCTATTCCACAGTAGGACCAGTGGGCTAAGCACTGTCACGAATACTGTGTAGCTCATCGCCAAATAAAAACGATTATCCATCCCCACGTGACTTATCGGACATCTTATCAGCAAGTGATAATAGTCAAGGTTGCCCAATTTCCCCAATTTCACTCAACTTCGTCGTTGAGCTCATTGTGATGTTCCCTTGCGTCATGCTGTAGGCGTTGAGGAGTTGCTTGGTGAAAAGTTAGTTAAACTTAATTATGCGCACGACACCGTCTAGCTGTTTAAGGATATCAGAGCGACTCAATCAACCCTGAATAGCTTCTGCAGAGTGGTCCCATCATTTGGCATGCGCTTCGCATCTTCAAAGTGCAGTGTTGCTTTAGGACCACTAGCCATTTGACTTTGGATAGCGAGGAACTCGAGTTAGTTGATCATTCCAATTACCTTGACAGCTGTATCAGCAACGATAGGCGTATAATCACGGAAGCCAGTTCACGTATTGCAAAAACTATAGCTGCCTCGCTGAATCTGCTACATCTGTGACGTCAGAAAGTGATACCGTCAGTCTAAAAGGCTGCGCTTACAAGGCCAAAGTGAGGGCCGTGCTGCTCTATGGCAGTGAGACTTGGCCCCTTCGATCTGAGAAACTGAAGTGCCTTCAACTTTCCTCTTCAACTTCGCTATTGATGAAGTCATGGAAACCACGTTAACAGGACACGACTTAGAAGGTGTGGATCTGCTCCCAGGAGAACGACTTCTTGACTTAGAGTATGCTGGTGATATTGCCCTAATCTGTGACAGCTCATAAACGTGCCAAGCGGCACTAGACAGATGAGCACTAGCTGTCCGTCACTTCGGGCTTTGTTTCGTACCCTCGAAGTGCAAAGCGTTCCTCCAAGATTGGTCTGGACCGCCTCCTTCGCTGACCCTTGGAGGGGATCAGCTAGAAGTCGTTCAAAAATTCAACTACCTGGGAAGTTGTATCAGCGTCCGTTGGACTGAAGATGAGATCACGAACCGGATAGCAAAAGCTCGAGGCGCTTTTGCTAACATTCGCCACTTATGGCGGCGGCGCGACATCCCTCTCGCACTGAAGGGTAGAGTGTACAATACAGCGGTACGTTCGACCCTATTGTACGGTTGCGAAATCTGGCCCCTTAAAGCAGCGGACATAAAAAGTTTAGTTAATTTCCCCCACCGGTGCCTACGCAATTTAGCTCACATCTGGTGGGAACACCGCGTGAGCAACGAGCGTGTTCAACGCCTTGTTTACGGCACAGGAAAAGGAATTGATCCGCTCAGCACAGTTATTTCATGCACCAAGCTCCGATGGCTCGGCCACGTGTTACGCATGTCAGCCCACCGACTCCCGCGACGTGCCTTGTTTGCGCGCCGGGGGTGTGGATGGAAGAAGAGGAGGGGTGGCCAAGCGATGACTTGGTCCAGAGGAAAGAAGGCCCTCACTTCGAAGCTGGCCTCGGTTGTAGCGTCTCGGCTCCCTGGTTGGGGTTCGAAAGACGATGAACACGTTTGGCTGAATACACTTGCTGATATGGCTAGGAGCCGACCTCAGTGGCGTTCGTGCTGTAAGTTCCTTTGTCCCACCCCATCCCTCTTAGCCCCCCCTCCAACCACGAACTCACTACTTAGCCCTATATAATTGCATGGTAATTTTTTTTGATGCACAGTAGCCGGCTGGTAGCTTACTGGAACGATGCCCATCCGTTACCGGTAGCTCAGCCGGCTTGCACCAGTTGCATTTTTTCTCCTTTTTTCTATGTATTGCGACACAGTATCTGTGTTTCCCACTTCTAGCTAACGTGTATGATGATGATGATGACGATCAGCTGTATGTGGTATAAGCTAGCATGTAAAATGCCTTGTTTGTCCGACACAGTGGAGGACGAAGGCGAAACGGTGGTGATGGTAGGTTAGAAAGTCGCAGAGATAGATTGTGGTAAGTTCCTGGAAGTATGCACAAACGAACTGAATGTATAAGCTTATGAGTGTGCAGCCGGTTGGATATACTCGCTTAGAAGTAAAGTGTTCATTGCGTGTTCGAACTGCTATAGGTAATATGGAGTTGAATGGTGAGACGGTTCCAAATAAACTTAGGTCAAGCTGATCGCTGCAACCAGGACAGAAGATACTGTTAGATTTAATATGGTTCCAAGGGCCAGTAGGTAGTAGGATTATATCAAAACCGCAGACCAAATTAAGAAAGGGTCATAAACCAAACACAGCAGGTGTTAAAATCCAACGATAAATTACACACTCGCAGAGCTCGGCCGTCTACTGGTAAAGACGCTTCATCCCGGATTAGAGACACGATTCCGGCAAGCTCTATCGGATGAGCTCCAACATGGAAGAAGCCCACCGTGGAATGCAGTCGGAAGCAAGCATCAACGGAGATACCCCTACACTGGACACCGTCATACTATGGACTCATATATATTCCGTGATGTTCCGAAGCCTTCCGCATCTTTAACACTTCTACTTGTGTCCGAATGCAGTAAAGTTTAGCCGCTCAAAATCGAGATAGATGTATTTGAGAAAAGATAACCAGCTACCGGAGAAAATCCGACGGCGGAATCCTACCTAGCAGAAAAGTTTCGGTGTTGGAGGATGAGCTTTGATGAATGTGGGTTATTTTGGTATCCACACTTCAGTGGGCTGGAGCATGAGTAAAGGAAACTGCCCAAAATATCATCAAGAAAGTTAGCTTAGATACATTTTCGGGAAGTTCCTTGCTTCCACCTTTGACGACCACTTTTGTAGCATTTTCCTAATTGGGCTGTTGATAAAGCAAAGTGCTCCGCTATGATCCGCCTTCCCAAAGTAGGCTGGATTTTGTGTAATTGCAAAAAAATATATTATACCGTACTATACTTAGTCTGCCAGTCATGATTACAGGTTTTATGAAAGTCATTTATATCATCGGCAGACATAATCCGTCGGGACGCGATGGCACTCTGTGACAAAAAAGAGCCAATTCGAACTGGATGTGCCCTAGTGAGCTCTAATGGAGTATGGTTGTCAGGTCCCCATGGTCACTTTGATATGAGATAAACCATGAGTCACAAAGTGCTTTCCGATGCAAAGTCTAGGGTTACTGTTTTCATGAGCATTCTGGTAATAACCTCTACATCAGCTACACAATCACTCCAGCGAATACGTCTGGCACGAGTGAACACTATTCACCATCGCACGCATGTGTGTCTAAAAGCCAGTGAAAAATGCATGTAAACTGAAACCGTGATGCCATAACAGATTGAATCATATTGGTAAGACGAAGTATAAAGTGACATGGCTTCTTCCACAAACGAATCTGACTTCAGACTAGAATTCTCATATGCCTATCGCCACCGTCAAAAAATGGCGCGTTTTTGGAACGCATGGGAGGTGACGGTTTTAAGGTTGAATGCGTCCATGCCGCCAAGTCACCGCACTTGCCGTCGGAACTGTTGAAAGAAATGTCACAGCAGGAACAAAGAAGCGAATACGGTGGGTTGGAACGGGGACAAATGTTCCCACCACAAGCAATTGGTTCCTATTAGGAACTTGAAGAGCGCGGTAAAACGCTGTCCACAAAATGCTATTAAAGCAGTTCAGACCAAATTAAAAAAGTTGTACAGAGTTCCCCATGCACGTCGTATTTATAGTGGCCATCTAGGGAGATACAGAAGAAACATTACATTGCTCTCACTCATTAGCAACATGCCGCACACAGACGTGACGGTAAGTGATTGAGTATAGTCAAAGGGGACAAAAATAACCCGCGTAATCAAATGTATAAAAAAGATCTTGGCCAAAGGTCTTGCTGCACCTGCAGTTCAAAATGTAGTTGCATGCGTACTTTTATAGTCACGACATTGATAAAGGTGTGGGAGCCTTAATGCTGATGCGGCAAAAGTGCAAGGCTATCATAAAATCCACCAAAAATCTCACTGGACACACGGAAACAAGCTTCTAACACTTTTTAAGACGGTGGTAGAGTCGTCTTTAATTACGAGGATCCGCGGGACAAATGGGTTTTGTGAAGTCAGATATATGCAAATTACGAATGATAATGAGCTTAACAGATAACCAACTTTTTTTCTTAACTGTACGGTGCTTATGCCTCCGACTAAACTAGCTCGGTGGGTCATCTTATGCGCTTTAACAAGTGGACAACGAAGCAGTGGCTTCACGCTGAGGAGATAGAACACTGGGTATGACGATGGTGGATGGATGGAAGGACAGACGAATACGGTGTGTGCGTGTGTGTGTAGTATGCATGTGGAGGGAAGCCCGCCAAGTGTCTGCGAAGACAGCCACACAAATCAATCAGGTAACGTAAAGGAATGCAGGCAAGGGACGATGACCGAGTGGGACATCACAGTACACCAGCAAGAAATTGCGTGCACAAGCACTTGTTACACAATAGGCTACGGTGGCAAAACGGTTAATAGTCTAATCACAGCGGTGATAGTGGTGAGAATTACTTGTGTCAAGTAAGCACTCAGAACGCTCATCAACATATATGCGGAACGCCACGTTTTTCGAACAGAACACAATAACTTCGCGTGATCCAGATTTATAGCAAGTTAACTAGCGTGTTTTATCATCGAGGTAAACTCGTTTAATGGTAACTACTGGGCAGCGGCTTAAGGCGGTTATTTCACCCTGACGCGGCATTACAAAATAAGTCCCATCATATGATTAATTGGTAAGCGAGGTGTATTACAAAGAGAACGCAGAAGCGCGTATTGCAGCAGGTAGAAAATTAGGGCTTAAAGCGCGTTGGATTACCTACTAGTTTCACAATACAGCCAAAATCGGAACACCATGCAGCCGACGACACGGTGGTTTCAAGATTGATCACTGTAACGATGTTTATCATGCCCCATGCATTAAAATAGGTTATTGGCATAGTACGGCAACCATTTTTATGGCTTACTGAGGATGTAGTAGGATAAGTTCCGTCCCACCTTGATAGCTGACCAAGTTGCTGACGGGTAACAAACCACCGGGGAATATATGAAGTGTACAAACAAATAAGGCAGTCGTGGACAAGGACTTACTAGCATCACGCTAGGGGGCCCAGTAATCCAGTTGCAGCAAGCGAACACCGGCTACAGTGCTAAATTTAACGTGGATGCGTTCGGCGTGACTTCGATCCCACAATCATGCAAGCCAATCAGTTAGGGGAGGTAGACGTGGACAGACGAAAGCCAATGGACATGGTGACCAGGTTTCAATAACTTTTATTGGCCGGATGGCAATCACATGGACCTGATGTTGCCATTGGTTATAGTATATCTAATTTGATTGGCCGCTCCGTCTCCAAACGAGGAGTAAAAACAACCAGACAGCGAACACCAGTCAGTGCATCGCCTCCGGGTGTGTCACGTGACCCAGCTTTCGGCCTGGCCACACCCGCCCACTGCACTTCGGTGCGGCGCGAAGCGTAATTGCCACAAGCTTAGGACAACAGGTTTAGCCTGATGAGGGCAGCCTCAGCCGACCACATCAAAATGTGTAGGAAAAAGCTATGGTACACCTTGTTACCATCATCAGTGTGATAGTCACACACAAACCTGATACCAAGTTCATCTGTTTATGTAAGCATACACAACTCAGTGTCAATCGTTTTGTTTAGATAGTTCCCATGCCTCAATATGTCCTGCCCACGCAGGCTGATGATGAAATCAGTGCAAATAAAGACTCATCAGCTGACTAACCTTGTTACCTACATGGGTTGGCACTGCGAACGGAATGTCAACAATCTTAAGGGGCAGCGTAAGATTAGTTCTTTTACACAGGGATTTCAGTGGCAATGTTCTTATCAGCTATGTAATCGCTTCCCTTTAACGTAGAATCACTTTTCACAAATGTTCCTTTGCTTGAAACTGAACTGTATTTGCGATTACATAGCTGATAAGAACATTGCCACTGAAATCCCTGTGCAAAAGATAAAAGAACTAATCTTACGATGTACTTTTAACAGGCAGTTCTTATTCGACGGAAAATATTAAGGGGATTTTAACGACCCCATAAGTCTAACGAGGTTGAGACGCATCAGTCATAAATGAGTCAGTGCAACCGTATCGGGTAGGTCCACGTCCTGGTTCATCCGTGGCAGAGTACGTCATCATCATCATCATCATCATTATACACGTTAGCTAGAGGTGTAAAACACCTCAGCTACTGTGCCGCAATCCATAAAAGAACAAAAGAAAATAAATACAAGTTGCATGCCAGCTGAGCTATCAGCAACGGATGGACACCGTTCCGGTAAGCTACAAACCGGCTACTAGGCAACAAAAAATTATTATGTAAACAATATTATGCTACAAACTGAGATAGTGGTTGGGGGGAGGATATAAGTGATGGCGAGGGACAAAGAAACTCACAGCACGAACGCCACTGAGGTCGGCTCCTAGCCATATCAGCAAGTGTATCTAGCCAAAAGTGTTCATCGTCTTCCGGACCCCAACCAGGGAGCCGAGACTCTCTAACCGAGGTCAGCTTCGAAGTGAGGGCCTTCATTCCTCTCGACCAAATCATCGCTTAGTTGCCCCTCCTCTTCTTCCATCCACACCCCTGGCGAGCAAACAACGCAAGTCACTGGAGCCGGTGGGCTGACATGCGGAACACGTAGCCGAGCCATGGGAGCCTGATGCGTGAAATGACGGTGCTGAGCGGATCAATTCCTTTCCCTGTGCCGTAAACAAGGCGTTGAACACGCTCGTTGCTCACGCGGTGTTCCCACCAGATGTGAGCCAAACTGCCAAGGCACCGATGATCGAACGTAACTAGCCTCTTCAGGTCCGCTGCTTTAAGGGGCCAAGTTTCACAACCGTACAGTAGGGTCGAACGTACCGCTGCATTGTACACTCTACCCTTCAGTGCGAGAGTGATGTCGCGCCGGCGCCATAAATGGCGAAGGCTAGCAAAGCGAGTCGAGCTTTTTCTCTACGGACCGTCATCGATCCCAAGAGCACTGATAAAATTTCCCAGGTAGTTGAATTTTTGTACAACTTCTAGCTGATCCCCACCAATGGTCATGGCAGGGAGCGATCCTTGCCAACCTTAGAGAAAAGCATTGCACTTAGATGGTGCAAAGCAAAGCCCGATGCGGTTGACATCCATTGCTAATCTGTCTAGTGCCGCTTGGCACGTTTATGAGCTGTCACAGATGATGGGAATATCGTCAGCATGCTCCAAGTCAAGAAGTCGTTCTCCTGGGAGCAGATCCACACCTTCTAAGTCGTGTCCTGATAACTTGATTTTCATGACTTCATAAATAGCGAACTTGAGGATGAAATTGATAGCGGTCATCCTTGTATTACACCGCTGGACATATTGAAGGACAGCTACAGCTTGTCGTAAGCCCTCACTCTGCACGAGCTACGCGCATATAATGCTCGGATAACATTTACATATTTCTCAGGTACACCATTCCTGAGTAGACAGTCCCAATGAGCACGTCGATCCACTGAATCGAAGGCACTTTTGATATTGAGGAACTCGACATCGGTGGGCCGTCAATATATGTGACGGTGCTCCAACAACTGACGCAATTTATATATTTTTATTTAGCACTTGCCCAAAAAACATTTAGCAAAGTGCCACAACATATGAGTAACACTAACAAAAAAGAAAAGTGAGTAAAAGGACTGGAAGCAGAGCTCCATGTGTTGTGTGGGCATTGAGCTACCGGTTGCCCAGGCCGAGGAATAGGGTTGGATTAAGGGACCCCACCCCGAGTCTTTGGTCAAGACCTGACCCGCAAGGCAGCGGAAGGATTCACAAAGACTGTTGACAGCCAAGTGGCTCATCCACCTTCTTTGTGTTCGGGAACAGTCCACAGAGAAGCCGGTGGCCAGCGAGTTTGTTCACCCGCCCTCCCTTAGATAATCATCACCAGTTACAGGAGTGAGTGTTCAGTGACCCCTTAGCCGGCCACATTGGCTTTGACACAGTGCCGTACGAACACTTGTGGTATTTAATGGAGAAACAGGAGACCAGCCCAGAACTCCTGACGCTCTGAGACCCTGCCGCTGATTGTCCGCGACTGCTCATTCATCTCTGGTGCAAAGCAAACAAGACTGATTCGCAGTTACCTCCACAAGGAAGGCATTCCCCGATCCACAACCTGGGGACGCGCCCGATAGCTTACAGCCTCGCCAAGGGACAACTGACGCAAAGCAAAGATGTGGTCGTTGAATTCCCGATCAGGAAGAAACCCGGCATCCTCTTCACGGATCTGGCTTTCCGGAGTACCAGTCAGTCTGTAAAGTATGAGAGGCAAGCAATTTGGAAGCGATGGAGATCAGACTGATTCCTCTATGGTTGTCACATTCTGAACACGAGGTTCCTTCCAAGATCGGAACAATAGCGAAGCGGCTCCAATTGGTTAGGGCAGTTTCTTGCTCCCACAGTTTCACTAGTAATTCGTGTAAATCATCAAAATGTGCAGGGCTAGCGAATATGCAGGAGGCAGGATGAATATCCTCCAGTCCCGCGGCTTTGCTCATTTTTACCAGTGCTATATTACGTTTGACTTATGAGCTAGAGGATGGATCTAAAGGGACAGCCCAGGGAGCAGGACCATTACTGGCCGGTGAGGAATCGAACAATTCCGGCCGAGTAAATTGCTTTTCAAATTGCACAGCCCAACGCTCCAAACGTTTTGGAAAATTGCGAATAGACTGTCCATTCCCGTCATTTATAGTTTCATAACATCAGGTCTCCTGCTTCCCGTTTCCTGTATCAGAAGTAATAACTTGTAATGGTTACCAAGGGCAGCGGCCACCTTCATGTCTGGCGCACAAAGAGACCAAAAGGATTCGCGGTCCCTTTTCAGACTAGCAAGAAGCTTTACCCGGAGTATACTGCGAGCCTCATTGCTTTCGCTTCCAGCTGGAATGTGTTAGCGAGCATCGATAAGTTCCAGAAACCGCGAAGAGACTCATGTCAATATATTAGCCATTAGACTGTAGGACCATCAAGCATTCTGACCAACACAAGTTAACAGTAGGATATCATCTGATCATCTGATATTTCCACCAGCCATATCGACCAAATACTCAAAACCCAACACATCATCGATCAAAGAAGCCGTACCACACCGAGATCAGAACGAGAAAGACTGACCGGCCCATAAGTTGTCAAAACAGTGGTAGTTTCATGAGGAAATCTTAGTTAGTGTCAGTGTGGCTGTGCGGCAACTGCCGCAATGTTCTGACGAGAGTCCGCTAAGTTCACTGCAGGTTGCACCGCAGATGCATCCGTGTCCTGAGTGAAACTCAGATTGTTCACTGTGGATAGACACCAAAGTTCTGAGGAAGCATCGGTTGCTTTTTGCGCAGCGTAAGTCGCTCTATGGTGATTTGTATGTTCGAGGTGAGCCCTGCGCAATTTGAGCAAGTTTGACGGAGTTATGCCAGCTCCGCAACAGAATGTCTGACCGATCTCAATTTCATATTTCGTAAACGATCAATTGCGAGCGCGTAATTCACTTCACTGACCGGTGGTTACCAAAGTATACTAGCACGCAGAGAGAAACTATCAGAAATTGTTTTACAAATGATTTTGCTATTTTGGGTTAGCACAAGCTTTTTTTCAAATCATGGTTCCGTATGGCTTCCCATGACCCCATGAAATATTGGCGCGTCCCATGGCTGTCGTTGGGAATGGCTGATGTAGACAACACTGTAAGATTTCAGTTAGGAGCTCATATGGGTACATAGCCGCTACCTGTAATACTCTGGAGATTAATCCGTAATGGCGGCATGATCTCTAAAACGTAGCTTAACTGATAATGATCAAGTCGATGAATTCATTCTGAATGTGAAAATATGATGCCATCCACCGTGTCACTTTGGCATGGTCCTATGCACTGTCATTCATGGCAAAATGTCCAAGAGATCAACTAATGCTAACTGGAGCGTCAACAGAAGTCGCCTTGTAGATATTGGAACATCTGAATATTTCACAACGCTTCAGTAGGCATGCATATTTTCGTGCCATGCATATTGTCTTCAAACAGACAAGACCCGGTTGCGCGCCAGCGGATCGTCTTTCGTACTCGTGCAGTTCACCTAGTAAATTAGCACCCGCATGGACAAACCACCGATAACTTCCTCGCATCGATCATTCGCGTTTGCAACCCGATGCGATGACGTAACACAGCCTTTGTGTCCGGTAACCTTAGGGATTATCGGAAACGATTACG